GGGAACGAGGCTGCCCCGGCCGGCCTTCAATACCTCCCGGGCGGGGCGGAAGGGAGAGGCCCGCTGGAGGGAGCTGGGGGCTCCCAGACCTAGCCATTCCCTCCCCCCGCGGAGCCCTGCACAGGCCACGCTGTTCATCCCTCTGCTGCGGGCTCCACTGCGGAACCCCAGTGCACAGACACTGAAACTGAGGCTGAGTCCAGGACAGGGAGCTGCGTGAGTTCGAACCCAGTGTCTCCCCCGACCTCAGCCGTCCTGTCAGCCACAGCCCCTGCGGTCCTGCTCCTGGGGCCACACCCAGGCCTGCAGCCGAGTCCTCGCGGGGCCAGCGGCCGGAGGCAGGTCCTCCTTCCCTGAGCTCCGAGGTGTCCAGCTCCAGCCGGAATGATGAGAAGAAGTTGGGGTCTCAGACCTGCAAAAGCCGCAAAGACGCTCCCCCAGGTGGTCGGTGGTCTTCCCACCCCCACCGACCCTCTGGGAGCCAGCGGCGGTGGGAATAAGCCCCCAGGCCTTCCCATGCGGGAGAGGTTCTCAGAGCCTGAGTCCGCCCCCCAGCCCTCACACCCAGCCGGCTCAGAGGCTGTTCTGCCTGCCCGGCCTGAGGCTGCAGCAGGCCCACCTCCCCAGGGAAGAGCGCGGTTCCTCACGGCCAGAGGGCACTGAGCCCGGGCACGCCCAGGCCCCAGGCCCGGCGAGTGGGAGGCTGTGGCCCTGCGGGCGGGCTGCACGCTTTAATGGGACACATGTCCCTGTGTGGCCCCCGCGGGCCCGGCCTGCGTCCGGCTTTGAGTGGCCACAGGCAGAAAATTGCTGCATTGTCCCGACATTAGGGCCACTAATGTGCGTGGCCAGCACGGCCGGAGCGTGAAGCCTGCTGGAAGCCTGGCAGGCGGGTGCGCTCTGGCCTCGAATCTTCACCAGAGCTCAAGGCCCGGGGCTCTGTCATAGTCGTTAGCGGGGCTCAGAGCTGGCTGGGGCCGTGCACCCCCAGTGGGACCCCAAGAACACTCAGAGGCAAGAGCAGCAAGGACGAGGCAGGTGGGGCCCAGAACTTCGGGACACTGGGAGGGGACAGTCATGGGGGAATGGGCCTGGAGGGGATCCCAGACGCGGGAAGTGGTGGGGTGAGAGGGATAAGGCAAAGACTGGGAAGGGTGAGGGGTTGCTGGGGAGGGAGGAGAGGCCCTGGGCAGAGCTGAAGCCTGGGCAGCAGGAGGGGATGGGCAGAGGGAGGTGGGGAATTCACTGCGTGTCCCCCTTTCCTCCCCTCCCCCTCTGGGGTCCTGGAGCCCAGGATCCCTCATTGACATGTAAACGAGGGGCCCCTATAAAGGCTTGGCCGCCTCCCGCGGGCACGTACGCGACAACATGGGCACTGAGCCCGGGACCCAGGGCAGCTCTGGGGGCCCTGCGGGCAGATTCCGAAAGGTCCGGGGTGCTGAAGAGCTCGGGGTGGGGGCCCTGCCCGCCGGCGGGGGCAAAGGGCGAGAGGGCCGCGCCGCCGCCCTCTAACAGCCTCTTGTCCACAGATCTCCAAGCCACTGATGGAGAAGAAGCGACGGGCGCGCATCAACGTGTCGCTGGAGCAGCTCCGGTCGTTGCTGGAGAAGCACTATTCGCACCAGGTGAGCCCGGGCGCGGCGGTGGGTGGTGCGATCCATCCCTCGCCTCTCCCCACTGCGGGCTCCCGGCTGAGAGCCCTTCCCGCCAACCGCAGATCCGGAAACGCAAGTTGGAGAAGGCCGACATCCTGGAGCTGAGCGTCAAGTACATGAAAAGCCTCCAGAGCTCGGTGCAAGGTAGAGGGGGCCCTGGGAGGTTTTGGGGGGAGGAGCCCTGCGTACACACGGGGCCAGATAACTGAGGGATGGATGGAGAAATAGGCACAGGGACTGGGCAGCCGGGTGAGGCGGGGCCCAGGCCACTGGAGGCGGGAGGCAGCAAGGGCGGCGGGCTGTGGAGTGGTAATCCGAGTGGAAGAAGGTCTGGACGTCCAGGTGGCCTCGCCTCCCTCCCCTTCCTTCCCTTCTCTTCCTTTCCCCTCCACGCTTCTCCCCTCCCTTTCTCCCTCTTCTCTACAACTCTCCCTTTCTCTTCTCTTCCCCTCTCCCCAGGGCTCTGGCCCGTCCGCAGCGGCGCCGAGTACGCGTCGGGCTTCCGGGGCTGTCTGCCGGGCGTTAGCCAGCTTCGGCGGCGCGGAGAGGGCGGCGGCGGCGGTGGGCTGCGCTGCCCGCTGGTGCCCGAGCGCACGGTGGACAGCACCATGGACAGCGCCAGTCCCCGCCCGGAGGCGCCCACGCGCTGCGGCCCCTGCGCCCCCGCCATTTGGGCCCCTAATCCGGGCGCCAGCGGCTCGCGGTGCCCGCCATCCAGGCTCCTCCTCCCTGGCGGTCTCCCCGGCCCGTCCACCCACGTCCCGGCACCGCAGCCGGCGTCTCGTCACGGCGCCGAGAGCCCGGGGTCGGGGATGCGCCTGTGGCGGCCCTGGTAAGGCCCCAGGCGTGGCCTCGGACTCAAGGGGTCCCCCGTCTGGTCTGCCGGCGCAGAGACAGTTTGCAGCGCGCCCGTGTGACGACCGGGACCTCAAACGTCCGGGGAGGGTGGCCGGGAGGGTGGCCAGGAGGGTGCCGCGTGCCCGAGAACGCAATGAAACACGCGTGGCCTCGGTGGGCCGGGGCCTGAGCCTCTAGGCAGAATCCACCCCCGACCCCAGCCTCACCTACTCAGGCAGGAC